TATTTCTCTTTTGATCTATTATTTCAGTTCGACGATGCTCCTGCTTTTTAGATTTATATTACTGTATCGACATTCGTTAAAGATATTCGTCTCCCATTAGAAATGTACATAATTAACGAGGCGGCGGATTACCAACGAATAGTATAACAAATCAATAAACTCTTGCTTTGCGCAATCCTCAACGAAATGGAGGGTTAAGAATCAGAATCAGTATTCTTCCATAAATCCTCTCTCGGAAGTCTTTGAGAATAATTTATTTTACTCCAGGTATATTTCAAGGGAACAAATACTTTTTCTTTCGTACCGGTTGCCCAAGATATTTGACTGAATACGTTTATAACTCGTATTCTCTCCTTCTTTTTATCGTGTTACTTCAATTAGAAAGAATCAGAATCTTCCTCTTTTCTGCGAACTCCATTGCATCACCAGCAGTCTTTATCCGGTTAAAATAGTTCTTATTCAGTTTGCCCTTCTGATTTCTTACGGCGATATTCTTTCTTAGACACACAATGTTTAATCCTTAGAACTGGAACATCCAAACTTATCATTTCGTCAAGTAAGCTCTTTTTATATTCTTTTATAAATCTCGCTATATTGTTATAAATCGTCTCTTTTTTCACGGGTTTTGGGATGAAAACAGTTAAAAGTTAGGCCTTACGTCATCTCTCCAAAGGCTATTCTGAAATTGTTATCTCGCAGTAGATTTTTAATGTTTATGATATTTCTAATTAAATATCATTACTATTTCGTCAAATTGTTTTTTAAAATAAGTATGATTTCGAAGATTCTTTGCTTAAAAAAGTGAAATATATTACAAGATTTTTAAAACAATTTTACATTTTATTGTTAATTGTTAAAATGTTAAATTTAATTTCTCGTTGAGAAGCACGAGACTTTGCGAAATTGAACTTGTTAGAGTTTTTGTGTAAGTAGCTCTTATATCTACACCTCTTACACGTTGCGGGCTCTCCTCAGTCCCGAAATATTCACGACTGAATATTTATGAAGTAACGGACAGATGAACGGAGGGAAAAAATTCGGTCGAGCTTCCGCTCGGCACGTATTAATTACTATCGACGAAAAACAGGGGCGTCCGGTGAACATGAACATTTGGCACGACTCGCGTCCCATCGTTATTTGTTAACCAACAAAAAACTGCATTCCGCCAGCGACGGGCAGCAACAACGTTGTTGCATAAATCGCGATTAACCTTCGCGAGAAGCCTCTCGTCCGCATGCGGCAATCCACATCTTGCAAGTGCAGGACATCTCTGCGTCTGTTTTATGATCACGATGTTCGCGAGCGAGGAACCGCAAATAAATGAAAATATGTTGAAATCTAATAATTGAGATGTGTCATATCAATAACAATATCAAATTCCGAAAACGTGGGAGATTTGAACACGAAATTAATTATATGTATAATAAAAAATTATTTTATATATATATATATATATATATATATATATAAGTAGAAAGAGCGGCGCCGTAAATATTACTTTAATATTGAAAATTTGTAATTGTCGAGAAAAAGAGAAGAATTGCAAGCAAAATATATAATTGTGCTTATTACATAAATTTTGTTAAAATTAGATTATTATTATAAAATGGTTGGTGGAAATAATGAAATCGGTCTAATTTCGGGCAAGATAGGTGAGAATATATTTCGCTGCTTTATTAATGGTCAACTTAAACCCGTCTAATCGCCAAAGAATTACACCTGTTGCTGATGTAACAATCTCTATGATCGCAATTGAATTCTTCCATTACGTATATTGCTCCACTTCGCGGCGTGCGTTCTTGTAAAACGGACACTCGGACGAGTCGGCGGTTCATTTTCGAGAGTAGTATTGATCCCACAAACTGGATCAATTATTCCTGTCCTGTTCTCAATAATTCAGCGACGTTAGGCTGAGACACGAACAAGCATGCGGACAATAATTATAGTCCGTTATGTTTATTTTTTTCATGTTTTCACAAACTTTTTCATACTCAGTTCCATACTTCTACTAAGTATTGAAAAAGAGAGATACCCATAATTTTTAAATTATATCTATAATAATTCAATAGGTTTTTCGAACATTATTATAAATTTCCTTGCAATATTACACAATTAAATTCATTAGTAATACATACGTATTTTTTTTTTTTATAATTCCACTGAATTCAGTTTATTCAATATCCTTGATTGAGCGAAAAAATTGGCTGGATTTAAGCAACAAGTGACAAATCATCAGGAGATATAGTGACATATCTGATCTTTTAGATGTTTCGTTCAAAATCATTGCTAAAACGAGTCTTCTTATTTTCAAACTTGATGATCCCGTCGTGTCTAGCATTATAATTCTTTTTTGCGAGATCCTATCCCGCCGGCGCCACTTTGTCGGTCGCCGGTCGCAAACGGCCGAAGAAAAGGAGAAGGGTCGTAAAGCTGGAAAAAAAGAGCGGTGGAAGTAGCTGATAAAATTGGCAGGCGCTACTCTCCTCGCTTGCTATCCGCTACTATTCGATTTTCCGCATACACAAAATCGAATGATCTTAGCTCACGAACTTTTTCCTTCGAATCGTTTCCCGCTCGGCTAAATGGAATTTCGCGACAAATCGCAGAACTTTATCTGTTATCGTATTCTGTGCGTAAGCTGCTTCTAAGCAATATCTTTTTCTTTACAAATACTTTTATTAATTTGGAATACATATTTCGTCAATTACAATTTTCATCTTAATAATCTTAAACTTTTGTTAATTTGTGTAATAAGTAATTTATGTCAAAGACATAACGTGAAAGAAATGATAAGGAAAACAAGGAATATGTTTGAACACTTTTAAATTATTACAATGTTCCGTGAAACTTTTTAATTTTATTTATTTTTTAATTCTTTAATTTATTATTAATAAAATTGCTTTATGTATGGTATCAATTAAATCCTTTGCAAAAAAGAATTATTTTTAGCTTATTTTACTGTATTTGACTGTGTTCGTTAGAAAAAGAATGGAACATACATCGATATTTTTGAAAGAATCTCAAGTACTCTTCACAAATTTTCACGAAACATCCAAATTCAGCTACGATCGATCGAGAATAGACTCCTTCCCACGTTGTGCAAATTCAGCTTTTGAGCTTTTTTTAGAGCATGAGTGGATTGTTCGATTGAATCACGTCATTAATATTCGATATTGGGAAATTATCCAGATTTAAATTGTTTTTGCACTTTTTAAAAATTATTCAAACTTTTTATTAATCACATTTTTATTTATTATTTCTCTAATAATATTATTTCAAAATATTTGAAACCTTTTAAAAATTTAGAGTTTCTGATAAAATGTTGTAAAACGATATAAGAATGAAAAATAGAAATGTATATCTATTTATGCGAATTTACGATTATTTAACAAGAACTCAGTAAAATCAAATTTATCTTAACAAAATTTAATTAATTGATATTAATAAAATTAATTAAGAGTATTATATAAAGCATATTTAAAGCACACAATAAACCGTGGAATATATAACTGACAATGTATATAAAATATCGACGGAGTTTAAATGTTAATCAAATTTGTCTTCAAGTAAAATACTTAGGCCAAAATTGAGACTATATATATCACTTCTATATCGAAGACTATTTATTACGGAGATACTAAATCGATTCAAAATCCCCTCATTCTTTTCGGATCCCTTCATTGATTTTACAAGCAGTAATTTCGTCATCAATGCTATTGCGTGTACCGATGCATTTGGCGCATTACAGGAGAGCGAGGATTGCAATGACGGCAGATTCTTGCCATGAATTATTGCATTACTGTGTGCCTTGATTGCTACTCGCTCACTCACTCGCTCATTCACTCACTCACTCGCTCACTCGCTCACTCGCTCGCTCGCTCACTCACTCACTCGCTCATTCCCTCACTCGCTCGCTCACTCGCTTACTCATTCACTCAGTTGGTCTACGTATCTGCTCTCTCTTTTACTCTCTCTTGCGCAGAGAGGATCCAGAGGTATACATACAGGGCACCCGTCGCAAAAGTCTCGGCTAATGCACTTAATTGAAGCCGGAGCCGCCGCATTATGCACCCCCGTCCGCCATTAACGAGCTCTTTCATGCAATTCCACTGAGCCATCGCCCGCGTACTCGCTTGAATAATTCTGTCGAAATTCTCTGCACACTTTGTGCATTTTTGGTGACTGGCGAATATGTTGTGCATCTTAAAGAGGAAACTTTGAAGTTTTTGCTAAAATACATCCAAGTTTTATTAAATTAAGGAAATGATATTTTAAATGTTATTTATACTTAATATATATGTATGAAAAATTTGTAATATATGCTTATACGTTTGCATTTTATTATTAAACATGACTATTTAATTTCGAGACTTATATTAATATTTAATAGAAAAATAGATGACATTTAGTGAATAGACGAGGACAATTGCAATATGCAATCTATACTATTCTTAAAAAGATAATGATATAATCACAGTTTTTATTTCTTCTAATAATTTTTTAGTTAAAATACTAATTTTTATTAAAATTAGTTATTATCTTTCAATCAAGGAATTGCTTAATTACTAAAGTTTTATTATGTCATATTCTATTTATTAACGATCTTAGTTATACTGACTTTTATGTTAAATTGAGTAATTTGTGTTATATTTTCATCAGTTTAAATAATTTTAAACAGATGATTAGTGAGGACCATATAAATGTTAATAAACTTGATTTATTTTATTTTGCATTTGTTAATTATTTATTAAGATGTTATAATTGACCCGCTAATAATTCGTAGATCGCAATTCCAACTTTCATCTCCTTCAGGCTAAAGCAATGTTCGATTATTCTCATCTGAGATAGAACCGATCTGCGGGCGATTGTTTTGCCTGTAGAAGTCACGATACGGTTCACGGTACCATTATTTGACGTACGTCACGCGAATAACCCCGATCGGAGGATTGCTCCGATGTGCAACCAGCCACCGACCCCTTTCATTCCTCTGTCGTTTCCAGGTTGGCAGCAGCGCAAGAGGCAGCACAAAGGGACCCTGGATACGCGAGTCAGTATTACGGGAGAAGGTCGAGGTTGGCCGGATTGAGGAGTGGTCTCGGTGACTGGACTAGCTTCGGAGGGGAGGTAAGACAGCGATCGCGCCAATGATTCTCGTCTTTGTCTCCGTTACTCTCGATATGAAGTGCCGTGATAGTTGGTCTAGATTCTACAGTTTGTGACAGCTTTAGAATCAAATCGGAGAATCAATTATCTTTCCAGTAATACGACTTCTTTATCGCTTGTTACTGAAGGATAATTTATTTCGATCAAGTTCAGTCAGGCTTTTAAAATTTAACGGGAAAATATTTCAAAACTTGAGAAAATGTGACGACACAAAAATAGATCACAGTATTAGAAACATATCTGACTGAATAGGTGTCATTAGTAGTAAGACTGAAGCGAAAAATGTTTTAGTCATACACATTAAAAAAACAAATTATACGTATTATTTTTCAAATTTCAATTCGTTTTAGCTTTTATTAGCTATTGGAAATTCATTACTTTCTCGGGATGTAAGGAAGGAATGATTACTTTCTGAACAGAACATTAACATTTTCAGGTACCTGGTCTGGTGGACATGGCGCCAGGCCGGGATCAGGGCGGAGGGGCGGGTGGCGGTGGGGGAGGCGGCAAGGGCACCACATCGTTGTTCATTCTTTCGGAGGATAATTGCATACGGAAGCACACGCGCTTCATCATCGAGTGGCCGCCCTTCGAGTACGCCGTCCTACTCACCATCATCGCCAATTGCGTGGTCCTCGCCCTCGAGGAGCACCTGCCAAAGCACGACAAGACCATACTCGCACAAAAACTCGAGGCCACGGAGATCTACTTCCTCGGGATCTTCTGCGTCGAGGCGAGCCTCAAGATCCTCGCCCTCGGCTTCGTCCTCCACCGCGGCTCCTACCTGCGCAACATCTGGAACATTATGGACTTCTTCGTCGTGGTGACCGGGTGAGAGTCAAACGCTTATTTGTCAATATAGTTTTCTCTTCGTTCATTTCCGTTCTTTATTCCTCCCTTCATTTCCGGCTCCTTTCCAACTCTCTTCTATCAGCAATCTTCAAACATTTCACGTATTCTTGGAGAAAGAAGGCATTCTTGAGATTGTCAATTCACTTTATTGATTATTGAAGATTCCATAAAGGGAATAATATTATCGTTACGGTATTTACATGAAAAAGTAAGTGATTTTTCTGTTTGAACTCAGCATATTGTTGCATTCTCCTGTATACACTTACATTACTCACATAAATATAGGACAGATCATGAATATTGATTATTCGAGAGAGACAAACATTGTTTCGCCCATTAATTAATTTGCGGCCGAAGCGAGCGACAAAATAAACCTCTTTCCCTAATTACATCCCTATGAGGAAACAAGATATTGGAGAAATCGGTTTGACTAACATTGCTAAACGAGACACTTCGTGCCCTGCAGGCATAATTAGAAACTTGTAATGTTGGGTACATAACAGAATTTTGACGTATTTCAAAATCTTGAGATGAAGAACAAGATAAAGTAAAATTATTTCTTTCTAAAATTGAGAGAGATGTACTATTATATCTAATTATATAAAACAATATAAAACAATATACACAATATTATATATATAATGTATTAATAATTGACAAATGAGCATTGTTTAATTAAATGTAATTTTAATATCAGTGATGTCGTTATCACCGCTTAATTGTTCGAGAAATTTTGGCAATGTCTGTGTTCGCAAACTGGTTTCTCCAGCTATAGGAATTAAGGAAACACGCCGATCGCCATATCCGTTGGCCAGATAGATTCTAGAGTGATCCTTGGATTAGGTCGATGACCGTGTTCGCCGAAACAAACGTGGACGTCGACCTGCGTATGCTACGTTCCTTCAGGGTCCTCAGACCGCTAAAGCTGGTTTCGAAAATTCCAAGTGAGTCAGTCAGAATTCTGCGAAAGAACAGCAGCGACTAACAAATACCCAAAGAAAGAATTCCTGCCAGTAACAAGTCGAGCTAACAGTTGAACAGCAAACGACCAGTCTTACACTCTCCTTTCGACTCCTTGTCCTCTCACGTTGTGTCTCCTGGCAATCTGTGTGCGTTTCTCATAGTTACATAGTTTTAATGTCTCTCTGATGTCGAAACTTAGCTCGTTCCCTTCAGTTTCGGCCGGTTCCGTTGCTTTAGTTATACCTGATGCGACGTCTAGTTCTGGCAAGGGAGAACAGTATTGATTTGAATTTGTCTATATATTTATATATTATTAGTTCCTGTCCTTCTAGCCTCCTGTGTTAGTCTTCTAATTGCGTAATACAACGTCATACGTTTTCACTAACCTTCGCTTAGAAGCTATGGGTGTCTTAGATCAGACTAAGTTAGAATTGGTGATGAATAAAGCTAGCTCAGTTGATCGATATGTTGAATAATATATAATTTATATTATATACATATTTATATATAAAAACTCTCTCTTTTTTTCTCTCTTTCTCTCTCTTTGTGTGTCCACATTGTGTTTCTGATTATATATTTCGTCTAGATATATATATTCTATTTTCTTCATAGAGGATTTGTGAACTAGCGATTAGATTTTGTGATCCATTTAGATTTATGAATACTGCAGCTTGTTACACATACACTGTTCGAGTTTGAAGAACGTGCAATTATGCACAAGTATATCGTTTAACACAAACATTTTTTTTAGAAAATTGTGTTAAATTGTTAAATATATTACACAGCACAATATATGTGTATAATGTCTATTACACACACACACACACACACACACACACACACACACACACACATATATATATATAAAATTGAGTTTTTACATATAAAATAGAATAATTTTTTTATAATATTAAGTTTCTCTAATCAAATTTTTGTTGATAACAAGAATATGACAGAAATGATTTTATTTTTGAAAAGCAATAATGATAGTAGTCACTAAATGTGATAAGAACTGTTGTTATATTCTTTTGCAACAATAGAAAGGTGAAGTATAATATATAGTTTTCTTTATATATCCTAAACAGCTGTAATAACTCTGATTTATTTTGTATGCATAGAAAAATGAGTGTAGAGAGCAATTTAAACATTGTTAGTTGCCAATTTAAAATTGGATTTAATCAATATTCTATCACTAAGTGTTAGGATGTAATTTAGATCGTGTCTGTACAGAAAGATCTATTTAGTAATCAGTAGCTGGTATTTCGAAAGCTTTTTTTTTTGGGGAAACAAAGCGATAACGATTTGGGGGTCAATCGTCTCCAATTTCGTACAATCAGGATGCGCACTCAGGTGGACAGGAATAAAAAAATTAAAAACACACACACGTATACAGATGTGATAATGAAGGGTATCTATATTTAGCGATTAGCTATTTTTAGCCTCAGTCACGCTAAATAATAGAGCCGACTATACATTGTTAAATGAATACGTGTCCTAGAGCAGAAAATGTGTTCAACAGTGAACCCGTTACTTGCTAGAAGTACCTTTGCAATACCTTTAGACATTTACGATAAACCGAATTGTTGCTTTACGTCATAATTTTCGGAAATGATTACCCTCTCCCGACTTCCACTGCTAAGAGATTTAGCTATTTTCGCTTCTACTGATTTTATATCACAAGCTAATCAATTAACTTATTAACAATTTTCTTTATTAATAGTGAAGATTCCCATTTACTATTTGTAGCACGAAGCTCAACTATTATTTTAATGGAGAAATATTTGTATTCATGAAGTCGTAATTGAAATCTCAAATTTTCAGCTGTTACAAAAATCTATTTTTTTCATTTCATAATTTTTATTACTTATTTTTAAAATTAGAAATGAATCCCTTTCCATTTTCAAAATTAGAAAAAAATTATTAAAGAAAGTTACTAAAATTATTAAAGAAATACTTCCAATTCAATTGCACTTTTATAATAATAAAAATATTTAAAATAGTATATTTCATATTAGACTTAATTAAGGAATACTTCTTGTAGAGAATTAAATCTTTTTTCAAATTTTCAAACAAGAAAAGAATTAAAAAAAAATTAAGCTAGAAATATAATACTATTTATAATCGGTTTTTCATGTCATTTTAATATTTAAGATACTTGTTACATCAGAAAAGATTATAATTAAAAAGGATATAAGATCTCAAAGTTATAAATTTCTTATCTAGTAATATAAGAAGAATAGACACTTTTTTCTCTTCTCAATTGAGGTGAAGCTTTTCGAAAAGCTTCTGCTACTGGCGAGAGTCAGAAATAGATAGATAAGTGGCGGTCGATGACCGCATGGCGAACTGATACCTTTGGAAAACTAGCGCCGCGCGATTTACGTGTGATTATAGCCGCTATCATTAGTTCATCCCAGCGTTCCACATTCTCCTAGACTTAGACATACAAGTATTTTACATAGTCTAGAGGATACGTACATATATATAGATACGATATTTTCACGCCTATACATCGACCCTATTTCTTTGCGCCATTCTTTTCACTAGGACATTGTTCTACTCACTCAGATATTTATTTTTGAGCTTAGCACTAAGTTTAATAAAATAAAGAAAGATATATTCCTTCAGATATATCCATTATAAATTAATAATTCGTAATGTTATTAATTGTTGAAAATTTATTGTGTACGAAAATACTTCAGTAACATTATATTGTAAAATATTGTATTAAAATAAATATAAGTACAATTATAGAGTATATGATTTGTTTTAAATTAAGATTTATATACTGTAGAATATATTATACAGAGGGAAGCTCGACAAAAATATGCAAATTAAATATTTGCTCAAATGATACAGAGATAAAGTATTCCCCTTTTTAAGTCTCTTTTACATCTTCAAACGTGTACATTTTTAAATTACGTATTGGACGTTCTCGTTATAAATTATAAGATCCATTTTCGATTCTTATCGCGGACAGAGATTCTGCTATAGATAGCTATTTATATCCATTTGAGCTGTCCGAATTTAATTCACCAGAGTCTGATCTTCCACATAAATGAAAATTCCGATCCGATCGTCCTGATAGCATTATCTCTCCGGGCTAGGCTAGAGAGAACGCTAGTTAACCATCTAGTGGCTGTAGTAATAAGACTTAAGAGTAGCGTGAGTATTAGTGTAATAGAGTAGTAAGTAGTAAAGTGTGGCGGGGTGTGTGTGTTTTTGGGGCAGGATCATCACGGCGTTCTCGCAAGGCATACACCTGGATATGGATCTGCGCACGTTGCGTGCGATACGCGTGTTGCGACCGCTCAAACTTGTCTCCGGCATACCGAGTGAGTAGCGCATCAGTACAGATTGGAAAGCGATCGAATTTTTGGGACTCGGGGCCCGCTATTCGGCTCGAGAAAATCCCGTCGAGGGGAAGTATCGCGTTGCCGGGAAAGCCCCGTTGTAAACGAGATCCCGTGAGAGATCTCGTAACAGCGTCATATAAACAGCGTGCGAGGTAGACGCTCGCATTTACATCCTCGAGCACATCCCTGGCGACAAAAGTCATTTTTGTTTTTTGTTCAAAATTTATTATCGAAACGAATTTTTGTTCGCTTTGAATGCGATAATCGATTAAATTGAGATTAGATTGTAGATTAACGCAGATAAGGGCGGTGCTTAGATAGAAATGTGAGCGCGGGCTGAAGGCGATTTTTAGCACATTTAGCGCTGAATGTTTCGTCTTGCTGTTTGTATATTCTACTGTTATTACGCATGTTGAAGTTAATAAAGGATATTAATTAGAAAAATATTTTAAATGTGATATGTGAGGAATATGCTAGGAATCTCTCCCAGATGATTATATTTGGCGCTGAATGTGCGACAAAAATGTAATCCCATTGCTCGAGAAAATTTGCTTGACAATGAGTAATGGATGCTCGAAACTTCTTTCTTGTCTGAGATTTGGATACCTCGAAGGTCGAATAAGATCCGCCGTCGAGAATACTTATTTTTGGAAATAGTGGCTACATAGATTTGATAAAGGGCGAATTAACAGATATATAAAGTCAAGTAGATCAGAGTTGGTCATGTTTAATCGCAAATATATTTATCTATCGCTCGTAGGATGCTTTCTGCCGAATTAGATCGATCGTTCGTTTTATGTTAGTAGTATTGCCCAGATAGGTACTATTGAAAGCTTGATGTTGTACTTAGATGCGGCGGAGGTGTCCTAATCCATAGACGCAAGATCATTTCGAATGGCATCAAACTCATATCTCTCTAAAAATTTTGAATTATTCTCGAGTCAATGTCAAAATCTGTAATAGTTTTCATAGAATTATAAAATTATTATAATTATTATAAAATCAATTCTTTTCTTCTAACCAGTAATTCTTTATTTATAACTGTGAAAGTAGGATAATATCTTGTTCTTTATTAGAGAATAATCATTTATATATATTAATTTTATGTTCACGTAAAAAATTGTACAAAAATGCAATTTCTCGGGCAATGATAACAATGCACGAAAGATGTACGAAGTGTAGAATTTTTCACTGATCTCGGGACAGTAGTTGGACCTAATTACTCCTCGGCGATTTTTTTGCAAATAGGTCTTCAGGTGGTGCTCAAGTCTATCATCAAGGCGATGGCGCCGCTTCTGCAGATCGGTTTGCTGGTACTCTTCGCCATCGTGATATTCGCCATCATCGGCCTCGAGTTTTATTCTGGAACCTTGCATAAAACGTGCTATAGTATAAAGGACCCCAGTGAGTGTATTCGAAAGCTCAGCCGGCCTTTTAAAAATGTTTGTCCAACATCACTGCTTACAATACTGCTTTACATATCGCTTAATCACCACACAAAGAATTAAAAGAAAGAATTGCTAGAATTTTAGAGTAAAAATATGATTTGTTTTCTAATCACTTGAAAAAAATATGTTCCAATCCTTGAACTCCTCAGACGCATTTAGGCGTTAATGTACCTAAGATGTTTTACGATATTGGACGTTGCAGATATAATCGTAAAAGAGGGCGATCAGCCGAGCCCGTGTAACACGGACGTCCAAAGTCAAGCTCCGCCCGGGGCTCATGTGTGCGATGCGAACGTCTCGGTATGCATAGAAAAGTGGGAGGGACCAAACGCGGGCATCACCAGCTTCGATAACATCGGATTCGCCATGCTCACTGTCTTCCAGTGTATCACTATGGAGGGCTGGACTGCCATATTGTACTGGGTAAAGCAAGAAATATGTTCTTCAGTGTTAAAAAGTTCTTTCCTCACGTTCTCTTTCTATTTGTATCGTATACATATATATATACATATATATATATATATATATATATATATATATATATAT